ACGGAACGCTGTCGGCAGGAGCGGCACTCACCTCTGAGTTCAGCCTCGAGTCTGCCGTGCGGGATCTGTGGCGTGTGCAGGGGCACTCGACTGAGACGGTCACGGTGGACGGCTTCAAGGTGGAGCGGCCGGACTACTCTGTCGTGCAGCTGCGTGTCGGGGCGAGCCTGCCAGACGGCGCTTTCGACACCTTCGTCGGGGCCCTCGGCCGGCTGCCGAGTGACCACCCGCTCCGGCCAGCGGCCAAATACCTTGGCCGCACCGCGACTCAGAAGAGGAAGGCGGCGACCATCGAGGAGGGCGATCGGTACGTCAACCTCGTTGGGGGAGCCAAGGGTTCTGCCAGACTCCGCGCTGCCAGCGAGTGGTTGGCGGGACTGGGGCTCACCCAGTACGCCGCCGTCGTCAAAGGCCCGCTCATCCGGGCGACAGACGGCGGGCGCCTCACCGATACTCCGCTAGAGACTGGCTCGTCATATAGCCATTCTACGAAAGCGCTCAAGCTCGCGTACGAGCTCCTCCGCGAGCGCGACGAGGAGGACCTCGAGCTTGCGATTGAGGAGGACGAGGCGGGCAACCCAATTGTCAAGTTTGCCCACCATTCGAACCGACGGTTCTCGGACAAGGTGGCGCGGGACACGAGCGATGTCACGGGCGCTACCATCACAGACATCGACTGCATCTTCGGCTGGAACGAGCAGGAGCGAGAGAGGTCGATGCAGCAGCACTACGCCGGCCTCGATCTCGCCTCGCGCATCGAGCGGCTCGCGCGAGTGACTATGATGGTGTAGTGGCTGAGGGGCTGTGGGGCAGGGCTCGAGATCATGTTCTACGATGGATGGCGATGGGGGTTGGTCCTGCAACGGTGTCTCGTGCGGAGCAGTGGTGTGCTGTCGCGCGAGGGTTGCAGGCGTGAGGGTCGAGGGTACCTTTTCCCCCCTTTGCTATTAACAATGCTTTGGAATCTATGAACATGACCTCGAGTGGAGCCCCAGTCCTCGACAGGCTCATGACGATCGGCCGTCGATCCCGAAGGGTCGTCGGTTGAGCTAGGGAGCCTGGCGATGGACGCCACCGCGACCCCTCGTGGCATCTCTCTCGCCGTCGGCGAGCCGGGGGCTCGCAGACGGCCGACTTTCTATATAACCAGTAGGACAGCCGTGAGTGTGAATCGGATAAGGAGTTTGCGTCCGTCCACCGTCTTCGTGGACGTCTGTCCTCGTGACACCCACACCCCACACGGCCTGTTTTGCTTCCCCACCCACCCTCCCTATTGTGTGCGCTGTCGCGTTTTGGGGTTGGTCCTGCAACGGTGTCTAGGTAGAAAGGTGAAGAACAGCCAGGCTCGGACTGGACACCAACGCGGTATGGGTGGACGCTGGACAGATGATGACGACACGCACGAGCGACACACAGACACAAACAGGCTCACAAGACACACAGCCAGCTGGCTGCCACACACCCTGAGTCGGCGTACACATAACTCAGGGCCACATCCTCCCTGTCGCCCCCCCCAGCACTCCACGGTGCCAAGGGCACAAACAAGGGCACAACTCAAACAACAGACGACAGGAAGTGACATGTGAGGCTAGAGCAGCTTGCTCCACCTCTAGCAATCTCACCGGCCTGCGAGGCACGGACGAGAGGCGCTCAACAAAGGAAAAACCGCCCCCCCCGGGGGTGGGGGGGGGGTGGGGGGGGGGGTAGGGGGGGGGGGCGCATCGCGCCGTAGCGGGCCACAGCCCTCAGGCAGCCAAATGCCCGCACGTCCCAGGCTGGGCGCCCCGTCCCCCGGAGGCTCCCGTGCGACGACTCCGCCGCCGGCCGCCAATCCTGACGCCGGCGACACCATCTACGAGGCTGGCGGCGCGCTGCAGGGTTTGGATGCCGAGGCGCGCCGGCCGACTCCTCCGGGCCACCACCGCAGCACGAGCGACTGCATCGCCGGCGCGCTCGCCGTCTCGAGCAGCCCGCGCTACGACGGCGCACACGGCCACGGCGGCGCCTGCTCGGCGAGTGGCCGCGGCAGCGCGCTCGACGCGAGGCTCGCGTCGGAGCCCGACCTCGCCTCGGGGCGTTCGTCGGGCGCGGCGTCGCGCCCTTCGCTGCAGTCGCTTGTGGAGGGGGCGGAGGGCGGCGGGTCGCCCTGCGTGCGCGACGTCGAGCTGGCGCAGGCGCTCTCGACTCCGTCCGACCGGCTCGAGCCTCTCGCGGCGGCAGGAGGAGGGCACCGCTCGCGGCCTCACTCGGCGGTCCCCTCGACCTGGTCGAGCTCGACTCTCTCCGAGGGGGACGCCGGCTCTTGCTCCAACCCGTCTCCCTCGGACGCCAACACTGTCCGGCTGCGACCGCCTCAAGGCGAGGCCAGCCCGGGCGGAGACCGCGCCACAGGCCGCCTGGCCCAGCTGCGGCTCCCTCCTTCGGTGCACGACTCCACCGCCCCCGCGGCAGCCGCCCCCGCGGCAGCCGCCGCGCAGAGCTCGTCGCGCGGGTCCGCCGAGCAGAGGCGCGAGGCGAGTGAACTACTCGCTACGACAAGAGAGCCTCCCCTTCATGGACGCATGTAGGTCCGCCGAGGAGAGGCGCGAGGGGCCGCTGTGGCGGTCCGGCAGCGCGGATGGGCCGAGGATGGTGCCGGCCTCCTCCTCGACGGACGCGCTGCCACGAGGGAGCCTGGCGGGCAGTGGGAGCGGGGCGGTGCTCTGGGGCGAAAAGGCGGGCGGCGGGGGCGCGGCGTCGCCAGCGCCGTAGTTTGCATCAGTGACTCTGAGTCCTGGCTGAGTAGGCGGGCGGCGGGGGCGCAAAGTCAGAGCGTGAGCGCGCGCTGCTTGCGCAGATCAAGCAGCTGGAGGGCCAGCTGGCCAAGGAGAAGCACAAGAAGAAGGAGGCGGCCAAGGCGGTGGCGCCCTCCGAGACCCGCAAGCGCCTCGTCGTCTGCACACAATGGCTGCCGTACCAAGTCGAGCGCACCGCCAGCGGCGAGCTGCGCGTGCTACCTTCGCCCGCGCGGTACGTCGCGGGGTACGCGACCATCAAGCGGCTCGACGTGCAGTGGGTGGGCGTGCTGTACAACGTCACGCTCTCGGCCGAGGAGCAGCCGGTCGCGCGGCGGCTGCTCGAGCCGTTCTCGTGCTTCCCGGTCTGCCTCGACGAGGAGGAGCAGCTGCGCTTTGCATGTCTGTGTTCGCAGCCATACTTCTTTGTTCTAGGTCTTCATCGAGGAGGAGCAGCTTCACTTTGCGGAGGAGATTGCAGCGGAGGTGCTCTGGCCGCTCTTCCACTACATCCCGCTGTCGATGCTCGACGCCGACATCGACATGGTGCACAAGCGGCGGGAGGGCTCCACCGCGCTCGCTAGCTGAGTATTCATCAACCCGTTCCCGTCACCACACACAGGTGCACAAGCGGTGGGAGGGCTACACCGCGCTCAACACGCGCTTCCGCGACACCGTGCTCGAGCTGGCGCCCCTCCACACCGATTTGGCGCGGGTCCACGACTCCGACCTGGTGCTGCTGAGGAGTTGGTGATGAGCTCCCCGTTGACTGACGGCTAGGTCTGGGTCCACGACTACTACCTGATGTTGCTGCCGCAGATGCTGCGCGAGGCGCGGCCCGAGATGCGGATCGGCTAGTGACAGCGATCAGAACAGCAGCAGCTGGAGTCGCTTGTAGCAGCAGCAGCGGCGGCGGCGGCGGCGGCAGAAGTAGCAGCAGCAGTAGCAGCAGCAACGGTAATGACCAGAACGACACCATGGCAGGCGCGGCCAAAGATGCGGATCGGCTGGTTTCTGCACACGCCCTTCCCGTCGGCCGAGATCTACCACACGCTGCCGCACCGGAAGACGATCTTGCGCGGCGTGCTCGGCGCGAACCTCATCGGCTTCCAGATCTACGACTACGTCCGACACTTCATGACTGCGTGCGCGTCGGTCCTCGGTCGCCGCCCACCGCACCACCCACGGACCTGAACCCAAGCTGGGTTCGGTACTCTGGAGGTATGGGACTAGGGACGGACGTCAACGTCGAGAGCACGTACATTTTGGACGCGCAGCAGCGGACGGCGGTCACGGTGGACGCCTTCCCTGTGGGAATCGACTGCGCGCACTTCCAGTCGCTGCTCGCGACGCGCGAGCTCAAGGACAAGGTGAGACGTCTCCCCATGTCTCCCCATGTCTCCCCATATCTCCGCACACTTCTCCATCAAGCTCAAGGACAAGGTCAGACATCTCCCCATGTCTCTCCATATCTCCCCATATCTCCCCACACTTCTCCATCAAGCTCAAGGACACGGTCAGACACGCTCCCTCACACCGCTTCCCTCTCTCTCTCACACACCGCTTGCAAGGCTGTGCGGCTCCTGTCGTCTAGACGTGGAGTCGCGAGGGACTAGCCTGGCCCTCGCCGTTGCCCTCGCCCCACCACCCCCGTGTGTGGACAAGTGTACCTTGCCTCGCCGCACTTCAGGTCATCGAGCTGCAGCGCCGCTTCGACGGGAAGAAGATCGTGCTGGGCATCGACCGCATGGACTACATCAAGGGCATCCCGCACAAGCTACTCGCCATCGACAAGTTCCTCTCCGCCCACCCGACCTGGGCAGGCAAGATCCAGCTGGTGCAGATCGCGACGCCGATTATGCGGGGCGACACGGCGCGCTACGTCAAGCTGCGGAACAAGGTGCACAAGCTGGTCGGCCAGATCAACGGCCGCTTCTCGACGCTAGCCCACGCGCCGATCCACTACCTCGACCAGCCCATCTCGCCTTGCGACGTCGCCGCGCTCTGCTTCCTGGCTGGGACGTGTCGAGCGCCACTGCCACGCACCAGACTCGTCTTCACGCCGCAGCTGTCCATAGGCGGACGTGATGATGATCACGTCGCTGCGCGAGGGGATGAACGCGAACGCCTTCGAGTACGTGGCTTGCCAGCAGCGCAACCGCGGAGTGCTCATCCTCTCCGAGTTTGCCGGATCCGCGCAGACGCTCGGCTCGGGCGCCATCCTCGTCACAACCCAACCACGGTCCACTCTCAAGGAATGGAGGACACGAGCACGGGGTAACAATCCTAGGCGCCATCCTCGTCAACCCCTTCAACACCGACGCGATGGCGCTCGCATTGTACGAGGCGTTGCTCATGCCGGCAGAGGACCGCGAGTGTGAACGGCGTCTCTTCACAGCCGCAGCTGTGAACAGGCGCTTCATATGCCGGAGGCGGACCGCGAGGAGAGGCACCACAACATGAACGAGTACGTGCAGCGCTTCACGCTGCAGTACTGGTCCGACGACTTCTCGACCTAATTATTAATTAAGTAGTCACTAATTACTAATAATTAATAATTAGGTCCGACGACTTCTCGACCGAATTATTAATTAAGTAATTACTCTAATTACTAATAATTAATACTTCGGTCCGACGACTTCTCGACCGAATTATTAATTAAGTAATTACTCTAATTTAGGTCCGACGACTTCTCGACCGAGCTGATGACGCAGGAGGACGCCGACCACGAGCTGCTCTCGCTCGAGCTGCCCGAGCCGCTGCCGCGGAGCGAGCTGCTCGACTCGTTTGCAAAGTCAATTATTAGTTACTAATCATCAATTAATTAATTAACAGGAGCGAGCTGCTCGACTCGTTTGCAAAGTCGAGCCGCCGCCTCATCCTGCTCGGCCTCCTCGGCGCGCGCCTCAACCACTCGGACCCCCCCCCCCCCCCACCCCCACCAAGGAGATGCCAGCGAGAGGGGTTGCGGACGGGCTGGTGGCTCACTAGGCACGCTCATCAACTACTCGGACTTCAAGGAGATGCACCCGCTCAGCGACAAGCTCTGGGGCGACCTCCTCACCCTCGCCTCCGATCCGGGCAACTGCGTGGTCGTCATCACCGGCCGGGAGCGAGGGCTCGTCTCACAGTGGCTCGGAGACCTGCCGGTGTGGGTGGTGGCCGAGAACGGCGTCTTTGTGCGGCTGGGCGGGCCGTCGACGGAGTGGGCCTGCCCGCTTGAGCCGGTCGAGCCAAACAACGACTGGAAGGCGTGCATCACGCCGGTGCCAACACGGTCACTTGACTCGGCCATTCGTCCGTGACAGAGTCGGTGAATGAGCAGGCGTCTATCAAGCCGGTGCTCAAGTACTTTGAGGAGCGCACGCCCGGCTCCATCACCGAGTTCTAAGCCTAACCCTAACCCTAACCCTAACCCTAACCCTAACCCTAACCCTAACCCCAACCCTAGGAGCGCACGCCCGGCTCCATCACCGAGTCGCAAGAGCACACGCTGACCTGGCACTACCGAGACTCGGATGAGGACTTTGGCGAGATCCAGGCCTCCGACTTGCAGCTCCACCTCAAAGAGGTGCTCGGCAGCCAGCTGTTGCCTCGGCCACATCTCGGGATTACTCTCGGCTGTGTCTCGGCAAGGTGCTCGGCAACCAGCCCGTCGAGGTCTTCCTCGACTCGAAGATGGTGCAGCTGCGCCCGTACGGCGTCTCGAAGGGCGCGGCGCTCGAGGCGGTGCTGGAGGCGTGCGCACGCTCGGCCCGCGAGTCGTCGCCCAATGAATCGCCCAATGAGTGTCCCAAGATGAGCCGCCCACGCAGTGCTGCAGACGCAGCCCCTCTCTGTTGACTCTCCGTTGCCTCTCCGTTGCCTCAGGCGTGCACGCTCGGCCCGCGCGACCTCGCGTCCGTCCCGTCGACGCGGAGGAGCAGCTCCCCTCCCCTACCCCCACGGTACCCGGACCCATCCCCTACCCCCACGGTACCCGAAACCTAGGGAGCGGACGGATGACACCACGGCGCGGCTGGAGCGCGAGTCAAACACCTCTTCGCTGCACGAGCTGTCGGAGGACCTCGCCACGGCCGCCGCCGCCGCCGAGGCGCCGCTGACGCAGGAGGCGCTCGCCGCCGCCGCGGGCGCCGCCGAGCGCCTCCCCCTGGACTTCGTGCTCTGCCTCGGCGCGCACTCGATGCGAGACGAGGACTTGTTCGGCGAGTTGCTTCCCGAGGAGGGGGGGGGCTTGCGAGCAGCGTCTCTTCACACCTCCAGCTGTGAACAGGCGGCCTGCTGCCCAAGGAGGGGGAGGACCGCGAGGAGTACATGGAGCACCTCCCCGCGGACGCCAAGCACGTGTGGACTTGCCGGGTGGGGAGGCAGCCAAGCCAAGCCCGCCACTACGTCGACGACGAGCGGGAGGCGGCGGCGCTGCTCGCGCAGCTGGTCATCAGCCATTAGTGAGTCATCCGCGAGTAATGAGTCATCAGGCGGCGGCGCTGCTCGCGCAGCTGGGCGCGGCCACCCGCATCGGGCAGGAGAAGGAGCGCGAGCAGGCGGCCGTGCAGCTGCAGCTGGACGAGGCCATCCGTTTCACTAGCAGCTAATGGGTTTGGTGAATGAGCAGGCGGCCGTGCAGCTGCAGCTGGACGAGGCGGCCGCCGCGTCCATCGACGGCGACGCGGTGGGGGAGCGCGCGGCGGCGGCGGCGGACGAGCAGAGCCTTCGCAGCGCGCTCGAGTGCATGGACGAGATCGAGGAGCAAATCTCCGGGTTCCAGTTCTCGCCCCTCTCTCCCCTCGGCTATGGCGAGTGTGCTCAGCAGTTGTGGACTGCGCCACGCCTCAGGTTCCAGCTCGCCTTCTTCCTCGACTACGACGGCACCCTCACCCCCATCGTCGAGAACCCGTCCGAGGCGAAGCTGCACGAGGAGCCCTTCCCGCCGGCCAGAAACAAGAAACATCGGCGGGGCCGCTTTTCTTTTTTAGGCGAAGCTGTCCGAGGAGGCGCGGTCGGTGGTGCGCGCGCTCTCGTACCGTTTCCCGACCGCGATCGTCTCGGGCCGCGCGCGGGCGACCGCGCAGGGCCTGATGCAGCTAGACGGGCTCTACTACGCCGGCTCGCACGGCTTCGACATCCTCGGCCCGGACGGCTCGAACTACAAGATGGCGGAGTCCTTCCGGCCGTCGCTCGAGGAGGCCAAGGTGAAGCTGGAGGAGCAGCTCGCGCACATCGCGGGCGCGCTCGTGGAGGACAACAACTTCTCCGTCTCGGCGCACTACCGCATGGTGGCGGCGGAGGAGCGCGCCGGCGGCGCCACCGCGGACGGCGCCTCTTCACACCTGGGCTGTGAACAGGTGGCGGAGGAGGAGCGCGAGGCAGTCAACGAGGCGGTCGAGCGGATCGTGGCGGAGATGCCGATGCTGCGGCGCACGTACGGCAAGATGGTGTACGAGCTCCGGCCGTCGGCAGAGTGGGACAAGGGCAAGGCCGTCGAGTGGCTGATCGAGAACTGGATCAAGCGCTCTTGCGAGCTGCCCGTCTTCCCAATCTACATCGGCGATGACGTGACCGACGAGGACGCCTTCCGGGTGATGGGCGGCCTCGGCGGCTTCGGCATCATCGTGTCCGACTTCCCTCGCCTCATCACCGACACCGCCGCGTCGTACGCGCTGCGCTCGCCGCTGGAGGCGCTGCACCTCCTCGACCACTGCGCCTTCTCTCGGAACCGTCTCGGAACCGTCTCGGAACCGTCTCGGAACCTTTCTTCAGGTGCTGCACTTCCTCGACCACTTCGCCTTCTCGTCGCCGAGCGCGCCGCCGAGCGAGCGGATCAGCGCGCTGGTGGCGGGCGGGTCGGCGGCCGAGAGCGAGAGCGAGGCGTCGCCGTTTGTGGAGAGGAGGACTCCGGCTGAGAGGTACTCGGAGAGGTAGAGAGGGCGGCGCAGTCCGCAGCGCAGAGAGAGCGTGCGCGTCTTGTTATACGACAGTACCGTGGTCACAGAGGTCCGTTTGAGATTGTGAGGAGTGAGCGTTTTGCTGTCCCGCCCGGCCTCCTGAGTCCTGTCTATTTGTGTGTTCCCGTCCGTCTCCCGACTCCCGTAGAGATTCGTGCTTTGCGAGTTGCGACGTTGTCACGCGTCGAAACGTGTAGAAACAAGGATGGACAGCGAGCGCGCCAGTCAGAGGCCAGACCCAGAGAGCGCCGGCCGGCGTGCGGCGTGGCATTTGCCTTTTGGTTTTGCGCTGGCCGCTGGCAGCGCCGCGCTGTGGCAAGTGGCATGCGAATGTGCGAGCTGTGGGGGCGGCAATAAGCAACTTCCAACTACCTACCGTGCGTGTCCTCTACCCTGGAGATGAAACCTTCAGTCTGTCGGTATTCGACACATGTGGCTTGCCGGGCACATGGTCGGGTACACGAAGCACCTATTCGCAGGCGTGCGCGGAGGTGAGGAGACGATGACCATCGGCCCCTGTGTCGCGAGGTGTATGGTTCTTGCACTTGTGCAAGATTGGGCGTCTTCTGCAGCAGTCCCTTTGATGGGAGGCCCCAGGGTGGGGGCCACCTCGAACCCCTGGCCAGGGATTCGAGCGGAGGGTGCCCCGGATTCATCTATCCGTTGGGCCCCGGCACCTATTTTAGAATTTAGACAAAACAACTCTCTCTCACAGCAGACAGGCTCGACACAGGTGCGAACTGGCGCGTGCTAGTACTATCACCGGCACACCACCGGAGCCGCCTAAGCGACTCCGTTAAGAACGGCAATGCACTTAGCTCCGTGCACAATGCCGCTGTCCCCGCACGCTAGCTCGTTCACCGTCTGCCACGCCACGGCGGTGTGGAGAACGACAGACAAGCGCTGCATCTGCAGCCCGTGCCAGTTCTTGGTGGTCCACGTGACCTCATCGAGGTGCTGAGCGTGCGAAAGTTTGTTACTCAGCTGGTCCGCCGCCTGCCGAAGAATTCTGCGGACGCCGTCCCCGAAGCCGCCGAACGTCTCGAAGTCGAGCAAACGCAGGTCGCAATTCTTCTCCCGCGCGAACCGGTACTCGCCCTTCTCGTAGCGGGCCGTCACAGGTGCCCCCGCCTCCGCCTCCCCCTCACTCTCCCCCTCCTCCTCTTCCGCCGCCGCCGCCTCCGCCTCTGCATCCTCCGCCTCCCTCCCCCCTCCCCCCCCCCCTCCCGGCCGCGGCCATGCAGCATGCCCTAACACTAAGTCGAGCAGCGCCCGCTCGGTGTTGCCGAAGGCGACAAAAGCCCCCTTCCAGCCGAGCCGATCGCCACCCTTGCACGCAAGCGAGCTCGTCAGTTTCAAGTCGCCAACGAGGCGCACATGCCCTTTGCCGATGTTCGCCGCCGCCACGTCAGGTTGTTTTGGGTTACTGTAACTGAGGTGTGCAGTCGGCTCCATCTCGATGAGCATGCCCCACGCCGAGCGAAGGGTCTTGACGAGTCGTTTGAGCAGGTATTTGTGTCGTGTCGCGTGCTTCGCACGCGGGTTGACCATTGCGGCATCGCCGAGTTCTTCGTGCGGCTTGCCGTTTGGCGCCTTCTTGCCCGCCTCCACCGCCTGGCAGGCAACATCGAGCGGGAGGCCGAGGCGGCGCTGAACTGTAATGCGCATCGCCCACGTCTCCATCTTCATATCATCCCGCATGGGGATCGCATTCAGGAAGGCGCCAGCCCCCTCCTGGCTGACTGCGACGAACCGAATCGCCTCGCGCCAGCACTTGTGGTTCTTGCACCTGCCAGTCTTGTAGCGGCCGCCCTGCCGGGATGCCTCGCTGACGAAGGC